CAGCAATTGCCATCAGTTTGACTCAAATAAGCTCATAAAAATTCTCTCAAAAAAAAAAAAGGATAAGCTGGTACTAGGTCAAGATGGTAGATTCAAAGGATAGCCAGTTTTTGGGAGAGGTGACAGTGTCTCTTCCAGCCCTCCCTCCGTCCCAGCCTACAAGCTGCAGCCAGTGTTGAACAGTAACCAGGAGAGTTGAATACACCCATGATAAGGCACATTGGGAAGTAAGGGGAAGGTGTACCAGGCACCTTTGAAGAAAAGCTGCAGTGCAGGGAGAAATGACACATTCCCCAGAACACCAGAAGTTAGTATCAATCCACTCAGGAGGAGCTGAAAAAAATAGTAATAATTTTGAGGATGTAATGTAACAACTTATTTTATATTTTACAACACTTACATCAACACTATTTATCAAGAATTAATATACAGAGATATAAAGTACCTGGTTTATAATCATAGAAAAGAACTTTGTTTCTATCCAAAACAATCTATGTGTCATTTGGCATATGCTCTCTTCTAAAGAAATTAAAATTAGGAATTGTGCAGGATTGTCTTCTCTGTTACTCTCTTCTATATTTTCTACAGACTTAAGTATCCTTCCTTCTCTCTCCCACCCAGGGTGGTGCAAGTCTTCGACCACCACCATTTCAGGTTTATCTCTTTAAGTTCAGCATCATCCTCATCATCCTCTCCTCTCCATCTTCTTTTTAACTATGTACCTCTAAGAAATTGATATTAAATCCTTCAATCAAGGCTTTATGGCAGCGATTCTCAACCTGTGGGTCGCGACCCCTTTGGGGGTCAAACGACCCTTTCACAGGGGTCGCCTAAGACCATCGGAAAACACATATATAATTACATATTGTTTTGTGATTAATCACTATGCTTTCATTATGTTCAATTTGTAACAATGAAAATACATCCTGCATATCAGATAGTTACATTATGATTCATAACAGTAGCGAAATTACAGTTATGAAGTAGCAACAAAAATAATTTTATGGTTGGGGGTCACCACAACATGAGGAACTGTATTAAAGGGTCGCAGCATTAGGAAGGTTGAGAACCACTGCTTTATGGCCTTCCGCAGCTAAAATGGGTTAAGTGAGGACATAGCCTTAGGGAGTCTGAGTAGCTGGATGGTCTCAAGGAAAGACAGGGCCTCTGGCCCTAGCCATTTGGCTCAGTGGATAGAGCCCCAGCCTGGGGACCAAAGGGCCCTGGGTTTGATTCCGGCCAAGGGCACATACCTTGGTTGCAGGCTCCTCCCCAGCCCAGGGATCCTGGTCGGGGTACATCCAGGAGGCAACCAATCGATGTGTCTCTTTCACATAGATGTTTCTGTCTGTCTTTCCCACTCTCTTCCACTCTCCCTAAAAATCAATGGAAAAATATTCTTGGGTGAGGATTAACTAAAAATAAATAAGTAAATAAGACAGGGCCTCTGAATCCCTGGGGTGAGTAGATATAAGGGGAGAGCCCAAGCCTAGCCTCCCTTGTCCTCACCTCAGGTGTTCCAGGGTGGTCAGCCGATCTTCACCCCCCAGCTGTTCTTCCCAGAGCCTCAGACTGACACGCCAGCATTATGGAGACGTCTTCTGGGACAACCTTAGTCAAAGGCCCAGGTGGGTAGCAATGGGGAAAATGGGGACTAACTGGCGGTGGGAAGGTGAGGCTGTACAATTCTAACACTCATAAAGCTTTCTAGCCCTGGCCGGTGTGGCTTAGTTGGCTGGAACACAGAAAGGTGACCGGTTGGAACCCTGGTTGGGGCACATACTCGGGTTTCGGGTTTGATCCCTGGTTGGCACAAGTGAGGAGGCAACCGATCAATGTTTCTCTCTCCCTTCTTCTCACTCTAAAATCAATAAAAGCAGATCCTCAGGTGAGGATTAAGGGGAAGAAAGCTTTATATATAGCAATACGCACTGGGAATAACTGCCTCACTGGTTGATGGACTTTGTAGGCTCCTGATGCCAGATAAATAGGTGGTTGGGAGAGATCATTAGAGAAACAACATGGATGGGGGTGCCGCTCGGCACTTAGCTCCCTTTTTTGTGCTTCACAGCTCCACCTGGATGGAAGAACGGTACATCCCCTCCCTGCAGGTATGACAAACCTTCTGCCCTTCAATACTTCTCGGTTAAAACTGCACCCCAGCTCTCCTATTACACGTTCCCTCTGGTGTCCCCCAACCAAAGCACAGAACAGGCCCTCCTTTCTATCAATCGTGTTTCCCAGATCACAGCTGTTTTCGTGATCTGAGCTTCCCAAGACCCCTGACTCCCTATTTCAGTCTAAGCTCCCCTGAGAGCCCCCGTTCTGCCATCTATCTCCTTTCCCCCCTTCTTTGGCACAGAGAGCCACTGGTTGTTCCCAGCCTGGCGTGTACCCCCCTGAGGGGCTCCCACCCCCTGAGATGCTTTTCAGAAGAAAGAGAAGGAGGTCATATTTGGCAGGAATGCAGGGACCTGGGGGCATCCCAGCCCGAGTAAGGGCTGTCACTTACCACCTGGAGGATCTAAGGAGGAGACAGAGAATCATCAATGAGTAAGAAGCAACATCTGGGCTCCGGGAGCCTAGCAGGGTTTAGAGGCAGAATGGTTTGAACTAAGGAAGGGGTGGAGGATTTGGAAGGAATTGGAGGTTGTTTGGAAATGAATCATGAACTTGGTGGGATCGCAGCAGAATTTCCATAATGTGGAAAGGAGGGAACTAAGGGATGGTGGATGAGCCATACTGAGCTAGAAGAAGTGGAAACTGGATCACTAAAGCCAGGAAAGCACTCCATAGAACTGGAGGATAGTGGGGAGCTAGTGGTCACCTCTGAGTCCTTGAACTAAAAATACTTCAGTCTGAGGGGAGCAGACAGTGGGAGTGGAGAGTAGGAAGTCAAAGGACAATGCCCCTTGGTCCCAGCAGAAAGTATTTTAGGACAGAAAGGTGAAGAATGGAGAGACAGGAAGCCTGGCCTCCAGGCACCTCTGCTAAGCCTAAAATCTCCACAGACTAAAGAAGGCCCAGTGGAGCAGCTCTGGCACTGCGGCCGAGCCCCTGGTGCCTGGCGAAGCGAGCTGTGGACTCCCCAGCACCAGCCAGCACCCTCATCAGGACGAGGAGGGGGCAACCTACCCACAGGAAGACGACCACTTCCTCCCTCCTGGCAGAGCCCAGGTAGGGTTGGAGAGGAACCCGGAGGGTGATGTGGATGCCTGGTCTTGCATGGAGAGGCATCGGAAGCCAAGAGCCAAGCTGGATTGCCGGATTTGAGGGGGACAAATCAGAGACGTAGGGGTATCTGGGTATGGGCACTAGGAAATCTGGAGAGAGACATACGTTTCCATTAGCTCATTCTTTTTTCCATCTCTCTCCTCTTTCCAGCTGCTTTGGTCTCCCTGGAGTCCCCTGGCCCAGGAAGGATCTTTCCTCTCCAGGCAGCTGAGCTCTCTGACCCCCTACAGCACTGTCACAGCCTGTAGGAACCCCCCTTTCAATACCTGGGGGATGGAGCTGCCCGAGGAATAAGGAAGAGCCCTTATGAAGTCTCCGCAGACTAAAGAAGGCCCAGGGATGGTAACGAAACCACCCATGCCTATCCAACATGCTCGCGCTGCCTCGGGGACCCACGCCGCCTCCTCGTCGCTGGAATCACCCCCGAATGCATCTCCCGACCTCAGCCTCTCCCAGCTTCCCCTCCCGCCTCTGCACTCGGCACTGACAGCCCTTGGGCCTCCCGCCTCAACCCGCCCCTCGCAGGAGCTCCCCAAGGCCGGTGCCCGCCTGGCTCCCTGCAGGGTTCTTTCCCCTGGTCTGTCATTAAAAGGAAAACAAGTTGAGCCCAGAGTTGTCTTTCCGGGAAGGAGTGATGGAAAGGCTCGTGGGCAAGACCCAGCTACAGTGAAGTCGGGCTGGGTCCCCAAAATTCAAGGAGTCATGCCCTGGGCGAGAAAAGCCTGCCCCCCAGTCCAGCGTTCCTCGCCCAGCGCTGGACAGCCACGCGCCCCACTCTCCCGCCTCGAGGGTCACGCCAGCCGGGCGAGCTCCCGCCTCGGGAGCCCGGAGCCCTGCCCCTCCACCCCGCTGCCTCCTCGGGGACTTCCGGGCCGGGAGCTCTCTCTCCCCACCGATACCAACCCGAGCCCCAGTGAGAGCTGGGTCTCTTTTGCCACCCGTTTC